TTTTTTTTTTTTTTTTTTTTTTTACTGGGGATTGAAATCAGGACCTTGTGCTTGCAAGGCAGGTGCAGTGCCACTGGGCTAAATATTTCAATGGTATTTCTGTAGGGTTTCTTGGCTTTTCTATGCAGGCAATTTTATCATCTCCATGTAACTTTTTCCATATCTTTCCAGTCCCTGTATTTGAGTTTTGTTATAGTTTAGCTAGAACCTTGATTAGGAGATTGAATGGATGTCATACAGGAAGGTTTTTAAAGTTCACAATTGAGTATAAATCTCTTTATAAGGGAGATTTAAATCAATCTCCTTATATCAGATTAATAACATTCCTTGTATTCCAGCTTTGTTAAGGTTATTTCCTTTGGTTCAGTTTTGATGGTGGTGGTTATCTAGTGTTTGAACATACACTTTCTCATACTTTCTCTCTTCTGGGGAGAGAGCAGGCTTCCTTAATCAGTAGATGGAGTTTTTCTAGTATTGTTTTATAAACAGAATAGCTCCTCTTCCCTTGAAGCTTTGTGCGATTAGCTAATTGTGTAGTTCGTAATTTTTGACTGTAGCTTACACTCGGCTATTGACTTTGGGTTTCTTATGTGTTTTTGGCACCTGGAGATTTCCTGTGGTTGACTTCAAAATCGGATATAAAGTTAGATTTTTTTTTAATAATTCTTACTTATGGTTTTGGATAGGAAAAGAAAAGACTTCCCTTCATTAGCCTAGTGAACCAAATTGAATGAATATTAGTTCTTTAAATCTCAAAATTCCACATGTGAAACTTAAAATTTTGTTTATTCAGATTCTCTACACCAGCATGCCCCCATAGGACTTTCTGCAATGATGAAAATATTCTGTATGTGTGCTGTCCAGGGAGCCAGTAGCCACATCAGCTATTGAGCATATAAAAATATGGCAAATATTAAGAGACCGAATTTTAAATTTTAGGTAATCATAACTAATCTCTAAGTACTTATATATGCTCAATGGCTGTTATTTTAGTGCAGGTTTATGTTAAAAAGGAGAGGGAGAAAAATCCTCTAAGCAGCTTAAGAAGAGAATTTGGTAAGATGTTAACATACAGAAAGTCTTTGGAGTATAGTTTTTATATGTTGTAATGACATAGTCAATAAGACATAGGACAGATTCTGGCTTCATGTCCTGCATCAATTAATGTCTAATAGTTTATATCTGAAATATGTGTATCTGTTGAAGTGGGGTCTGTGTGTATATCTGTATCTCTACCCCAACCAGTGATTTCTTTCTGTGGTCTCTAGGGAACTACAGGTCAAATTGAGGACAGTCAAAGTCCTTGTGAATGTGGAATTCAGGTTGGGCTTTGGTGGCTTATTGGCTGATTGGGAATACTTTGAGAATCGCTGCTCTACACTGGCCTTTGTAGGGAGGGTGAGATTGGCGGTTAGCTATGATAGAAGTACAGTGATTTATATTTTTATGTTCTAGCCAACTGTCACTCAGAGGAAAAACAAAAATGAGAAAGGAAGACAGTAAAAGTTTACAACAGAACTGTTAAGCTGAAAAGGATATCTGAGGGCATATGTTAAATCTTGTCATTTTATAGATGAAGAAACATGTATATGTGATCTATGATATATATCGTATATATATATACTTTTTCTGACATGCATATATGTTAAAAATAACTTGTCTGTGTATATTTATCATGTAATGCCTTGTTGAATAACCAATTAATGATAAAGCTGAGACTGGAATCTGGCTCTTGTAACTTCCGGACCATTTTTTTTCTTGCACTGTATGCTATATTTTGCTGTATGCATCCAGATGCTTTCATTTCAGAGAAAAAAAAATGTTCTTTAAAATACAACTGTACATAAACATTGGCAGAGCTTAATTATATTTCCCTAGAGTTATATAAGACATATTTGTTTCAAATTAAAGGTTGAATTATAATGGATAGTATTGTATATGGGTCGGTATTTAAAAACAAGTATTTTAGGACTCATATGATGATTCTCTTTGATATTTCTTGCAAAAGTTTCCTAGGAAAAATAGTTCATACAATGATTTTTAGAAAAAGTGAATGTATTTTAAACATTGGACCTACAATTACAGTTGTGTTTCTTTTAGCTTCTTGCCAGAAACCATACATTGCACTTATTGATGGAATTACAATGGGTGGGGTAAGTAGACTTTTTACTCTCTTCATTGATAATAACAAGCTATAAGGAATAAGTTAAAAATTATTAAACAAGTGAGATGATTAATAGCATAGAATTCATTGAAACAGAGTCACGTGTGGATTGGATTTTGTATCCTGCCAGATTTGTGAAATATTTTCTTCTAGTGCTTTTAGACTTTATCAACTGGAAAGGAAATTGTATGTCCTTAATTGTTACATATTGTTTTAACTTTGAAATTAGCAAGCTTTCTTAAGCAATAGGCACTGAGTACATTTTTTGTTTATATAGACTTTTTTTCTGTTTACAAATTATCTGATTGCTTCCAACAGCTTTAGAAGAGAAATCTGAATGCTTAGATTTTTTTTCTTAGACTCAGTAGTGGAGATGCGGTTGCCTAGGATATGTCCACTTAGTGGAGGTGCTTATAATCTTTATGAAATCTCTAAAACTGCGTTCCTGTTGGTCAACAAGTGTTTTACCTCTGTGCTATTATAAATAAGTCTAAAATGTAACTGGCCCTGAAGAACTTGATATGGAGGTAGAGAAAACATAAATTACAGAACTAGTGAGAAATTGCACAGCCCTAACCGTAACAGAAGCCTTTGAGGGAGCAGCAAGGGGCCAGAATGGCTCTTAGTGGCAGAAAAGTGGCTGCATGGAGAATATGGTGAATTGAACTGAGCCTGGAAAGGTAGTGTAAGGGAGAAAAAGTGACCCTTCTCACACCTCACAAAGATTATGGCTGACACCCCTAGGACAAAAGAAAAGCACAGCAGATCTGAGTCATTTACATGACACAGGAGACTTCTGAAGTGAACCCCTGAAGACTCGGGAAACTTTATGCTCAGGGTCAGTGCAGAATGGACGTGATTGGATAAAGGCATGAGCCCGTGACAGTAAATTGGAGAGCAGTCGGTGAGGCCTGTTTGTTCAGATCTTCTTGGCTTTGTTGAGCGGTATCCCTTTCCTCTGGGTGTGAGCAGGCTTCCCTTCCCATGAGGGTCTACTGAGCTTCTTTGAGGAGAAGTGGGTCAGGGAATTCCTTTATTGCCTGCTCGCCCTCAGAAAACTGGGAGAAAGAGAGTGACCTCCAAGGTAGGAACTCTTGGGCTGTCATGTTCTGAACCCCAACAGCTGATAGAAGCTAGGTAGGCAGGCAGTAGGAGGCCAAAGAGTGGAATTTCAGAAGTTCTACCTGTTTAGTGCTTCAGAGATTTAGTTGTTTGGAACACAAGATGCCCCCCTCTTGTTCGTGTAGAATCACTTTAATCGACACCTCTTGGATACCAAGAATTGTTCAGATCTTACCCATTATTTTGGACAGGGTTCTGCTAACAGCTGTGTGGTTAAAAAGCAGGATCAGGAGCAGTCTGTCCGTGTCATGTCTGCAGGTACTGAGCATAGTTTGGTTGTACTTTTTCAGGGAAATAACAGGCAACTTTGAAAACTACCGCCTGGGGCACTCATGTTTAAACGTCCAGCAGAATTCAAGTTAAATTTTGAAGTTTTAAGGGGACGTATCACAAATAGCCTCTCCTTTGATGTAAGATAGGAAAATTATGAACTGTCACAGGGTTTTCTACATACTTCAGCATGGATTTACATTTACAGTTCTGTAGGATTCCCAAGTCACGTGCCTTCAGTTTTCCCACACTCCATCTTTATGAAAGACTATTCAGTGAGCTCTTAATGACAATTGTGTCCATGGTCTCTTGTCCTGAAAATTTTTTTGTTAAAAATCTCAAGGTCTTTTATTTCATTCATTGTTACCTGCCGAGACTAAAACAAAATGTATAATACAAAAGAGAGAATTGAATTAGGGAACACACGAGTGATGGTTTCTACATGATAGTATGAGGGGCTTTAACTTTTTTCCTCTGGAGTTCAGCAGGGGCAAGAAGTTGGTCTTTGAGTTTGGAAAGGAATGTGGTTTCCTGCACAGTGCTGGGCATGGCTAGTCCGGGAGAGCAGTGGAAGGGAAATCACAGAACGGCAAATTGAAAAGAACAGAGACTCAGACCCATCCAAAAAAGAGCAACCTGCCTCATCTTCTGGCAAGTTGGACTGCAAGCATGGGCTTCCGCATATTTCAGTAGCGTGTTTGCCTGTTCTCTCCCCCTTTGACTCCCTCTGCTTCTTTGCATGTTTGTTTTGTTCTCCATGTTGTATAAGCTTCAGCCTTCCCAGGTTTTTGGTATCTACCCTCAACTTTTACATGGCTGCCATGTCTTCAAATTTCAAGTGACCTTTAAGCTTCATTGCCTGTCATCAACCAGTGGCTGCCCACTAGTATGTTCTAGTTTAAACTGCTAAGTGTAGGAACTCTGCCTAATTCATCTCCCTCTTGCTCCCCAGGCCTCCGAATTCTGGTTTGTCTGTTGGCTGCCCTTGGTCCACAGCCATCTACCCATGAGCACTGCTTGGCCCAGAGAAGGTCCCTCGGCAGAACAAATGCTATTAAAGAAAAAAGGCAGTGATCGGGCGGGTGGTAGCCTTCTCTCGTATGTCTTCCTTACTTTAAAATTATATGAGGCATTAAAATCATACAAGTGTACAGTTTTGGAGGAATAACATGAAGCCTCATGCCTGGTGAAAAGAACAGGAAGCTGAAGTGAGAGGTGGCTGGGGAAGATTAGGAGGTAGAGCCTTACAGGCCATGGGGTGGGGTTTGGAAAATAAAAGTGAAACAAGAAAAATGTGTGTGTGTAGCAAACTCCATTCCATATGATGTAGTATAATGTAATATACAATATATATATTATGACAATATACAGTATGGGAATTGTATATCAGAAAAACAGGCACATTTGTGCAGATATTAGAGATACACAGGGAGAAAGCTGAGGGTTCCTTGCCAAGGGGTTAAAAGCTGTGTGCCTGGGGAGAGAATGATAAGATAAGACTAGGATGGAGGATTGTGGGCAGACTTCACCTTTCCATGCCGTGTTTTGTAAAGCACACAGTCAGGTGCTGCTGGTAGATTCAGTTAACTGACAGAGGAGGCAGTAACGAGGAGAGTCAGAGTGGAGGCAGGTTGGCCTGTGGAAGTCTGGGGTCTGTCTGTGGGGCAGCTCTTCTGAGTCCTCGGGCTTGGTAAAAACTCATTCAGTTGAACGCTTTCTTTTAAAGTTCTTGAAACACATTTCTGAAGTTAACTTGCAGTTATGATGTGATAAATGAAATGTAAAGAATAGGGATTACGGAATACAGGAAACAGTCTAGTGTCTCATTTTTATGAAAATTGTAAGATTTCACTAGTCTGGAAGTATATACAATCTGTTTTGGGTTAATATTGTCAGTTGACAGTATCCTGTACAGAATCTATAATGTAAATGTATTAACCTATGTGGGGTGGGTGTACTATTATGGATATAACTTGCAAATGTGGACACCAATGGATGTAGGTAGTGACCAGTTTTATTCATTTCTAAGTTTATGGATATGAACTATTAAATTTTAAGCTTAGCACAGTACATAAAGTGTATAGTAAATTGCATGTATTCCTAAGTATTAATGAAATGCTTAAGGGCTTTAAGAACTTACAAGCAACCAAACTGAATGTGAAAACTTTTGACATAGTTGAAGTTTGCATGAAAAGAGAATCAGAAACAAACCCTTTCTATTTAGGTGACACTTAAAGAGCTGTTACTGAGGCTTGGCATTGTTTTAGATAATACTTTACCTGTTTTAATGCATTTAACACTGGTTTCAAAGAGCAAAAACTGGTTAAGAAGGATTAATAATTAAAAGAAACAGTATGTTCTGACTACTGTGAAAAGCAAGATATGACAGTGCTAGCAGTTGACATAATGTGGATCTTGTTTTGTGTACTCGCATTTCAAGTATGTGTGGTATTCAGAAACAACTGGTATTTACCATTTCCATGACATTCAACAAGTTTGTGATGTCCTTTAGTAATCAGTTTTTTAAGATTTTATGATTGGCTTCATTAAGTGTTGTATCTGAGAAAAGTGACACAACTGATTTGAAGTATGTAAGTAAAGTATGTTAAGATTTCTTTTTTAAATTACTGGAATTTGCTAGGATAACTTGGTTGTGTTTTTTTGCTTATTGATGCCAGTAATAAGCAGCACTTTGTGGTTCTGGGAAGAATCAGTGTTTTATTCTGTATCTGTTTTGAAATGAGAGGAACTGGGGAGGGGACCCTGAAGCCTAACAGAATACTCATAGAAACCTCAGTTAAATCAATTTTTTTTTGAGGGTAAAGGGTATCAAACTCAGCTCCTTGTGCTTGCGAGGTAGGCAGCAGAACCACTGAGCTAAATCCCCGGTTCCATAAAATCAATTTTTAATATAAGGGATTTGCTTATATTTCTGTTCGGCAAGTTCATCTGAAATTGTATGCTTTAGGGCTTCTTTTGACCTATACCCTGAAACAAATTCCTGTGGAGTATAAAAATTATCTAGCTGCTTTATAATATTTATGTTTATGCTTTTAATTTTTACAGTATTTTAAAACCAAGTGTTTTTCTCATTTCCTTAGGGAGTTGGTGTCTCAGTTCACGGACAGTTCCGAGTGGCTACTGAAAAGTCTCTTTTTGCAATGCCAGAAACAGGAATAGGTAAAAAGTCAAACATTTTTCATACTTTTAGAATCATCTTTCTTTAATGTATTTCAGGTTATACTGTTTTTGAAGGAGTCAATGCGTGAGATGGAACAATGAAAAGACTTTTAAAAACAAGATGATACCTAAAAGTTTGCATTAGTTTAGTAATTATGTCAAAACACAAAAGTAAGAATGTTTACTTGGAGACAGTAATACACTATAGTGTATTTTTAGATAAAGGGTCATTAAGGAAAATATTCTTGCATTTAGATCTATGATCCATTTAGAGTTAATTTCCACATACTATGTGAGGTATACATCACAGTTTGTTGATCTATATGTGGAAATAGTCATTCCAGCACCAGTTTTTTCTATAACAGTGTAATTTTTTTATCAGTACATGTTTGCAGTACATGCATTTTACAGTCATCTTCAGACATGTCCATAGTGCATCTTGCTTCCTTTTTTAAAATCCCCTTCTCACCCTCACCCTCCCTTCCTCCTCCTCCTCCTGATTCTCTTTTCCCCATTTTATTCTTACTGATATTATTAATCTTGGCTCATTTTGTGGCATATAATATTTACATTCATTGAGGTGCTTAGGTTCCTATAGTATGTGGCATAGCTTTATTCTACTTATTTCCCCCTTTTTCCCCCTTTCCCCTTCCTCTTGATCTCTTCCCCTTCCTATTTACAAGAGACGCATTCCCTCGTCTCATTTAACTCATGTATCCATCCTTTATTGATCTCTTTGTTTGTATTTGCATTACTCAAATGAGAGATACCATATGGTATTTAAGCTGTGTCTGGTTTATTTCACTCAACATTGCATTTTCCAGGTGCATCCGTTCTCTACAGATGTTTCAAACTGGTCCTTCTTTACAGTCGAGTAGTATTCTGTTACATACACATACCACGTTTCTTTATCCAGTCATCTGTTGATGGGATACAAAGTGCTTCCAGGATTTAGCTATTACGAATTGTGTTGCTGTAAACATTGGTGTGCATGTGTCGCTCTAGTATGATGTCTTAATCTCTTTGAGGACGATTTCTTGAAGGGGATATGGAAGGAGCAGATGAGTCACATGGAATTCCTAATTTTAATTCTTGCAGTCTCCGTATTGATTTCTACATAGTTATCATCATTTGCATTCCCACCGGCGTTGTCAGAGGGCTCTTTTCCACCATCACCAGTACCTTGAGAGTACAGGCCTAGAGAGAATACATTTTGGTGTGGACTAGAGTGGAGGTGCAGAGTGGAACACAATGAGCAGAGGCGGAGTGTATGGGTGTTAACACTTGCTGATGTGGGGAGTGGATGTTTAGCTTATGCTTCTGGGCGGATGGGGCTGATCAGGGAAGGCGCTTTGTTGTTGGAGGGATGTGAATCAAGAGTGTGTTTTTGCTGTGTTCTTCAGGAGATGCTTATTATCCATGTGGTTGTATCTTGAAGATAGATCTAAAGCTGGATATTTGAGGAAAAAGCCATAACTGGATTTGGGAATGTGTTATCTACTAGTGCTGCCATAACAGAATACTCTAGACTGAACAGTTCAAGCAACAGACATTTTATTTCTCACAGCTCTGAAGGCTGCAACCCCCAGATCAAGGTGTCAGCAAGTCTGGTTCCCCGAGGCCTCTCTGCACGGCTCTTACATGCCTGCTTTCTTGCAGTGTCCTCAACAGGGCCTTTCTGTTCATGCATCCCCGGTCTGTTCTTCAAGGACACTGGCTATGTTGCATTGGGGCCCTTCCCCGTAGCCTCACTTAGCTGTAATTACCTGAGACCCTGTCTCCAGATAGACGCGCTGTAGGTTAGGGCTGCAGCATATGAATTTGGGAGTGAAACAGTTCAGTCCATAGCAGCATAGAGATACTGTTTACAGCATGGGAGCTAAGGAAATGTATACAGAGTGAAGAGGAGACAGCCTAATAGCAAGCCTGGGCTCTGCACTGCTCAGAGGCCAAGCAAATGCATGGAGCCGGTGAGGGAGACCGGAAAGCAGCAGCTGTGGTGATGGCAGGCAAATGGGTGGGAACATCACTGAGAGCTGAGGTGGGTGGAGAAGAGGATGTTGGGCAGAGAAGACAGTGGCTGGAGTCTGCGGAGTGACTGGTAAGAGGTGTCCTTCAAAGCTAAAGAGGGGCCTAGCAGACGTAGAAGCAGGCAGCCTTGAAGGATGTGAAGAGGAACCGTTCGGACGTTGTCACTGCGGTGGGTAAAGGAATGGCACCAGAAGGGCTGTCAGGCGGCTGGTTGTTCCTTTTGTTGAGGTGGGTGACGCGGGGGCAGGGCCTCGGGGACTCAGCTTCAGACCCTGCTGTTTCTGAGGGGCATTCTTATTCCTTTAAATCTAGGAATTTTTTGTGGAGCAGAACTGGAAATAATTTGAAGGTTTATGTGTTTATCTCAACTTAATTAAACATCCTTAGAATAGCCATGTGAATTATAAACCAGGGTCACAATTATTTAAGGAGCTCTAGAAATAAAAAGGTTGTACACTGGCAATTACTCGTATGTATGCTATTTTCAGCTGTTGCCAGTAGAGGGAGGATTTTGAAAATACTGATGGTTAAGAAAAGAGTAAATTATTTTATGAGGCATGAACTTGCTCATTAAGTAGGACTAATGGTTAAATCTTTAGTTTTCTAAAACAATAGATGATTGAGTTTGAGAGAGATTTTAAATGGTATTAATGAACTTCTGTGTAATTGCCCTTGGACTGTGTTTTTTGCTATGTTTGTCATTTGGAAGAAAATAATTCTGTTAATTTTTTAATCTGTCAGATTCCTATGAGTGAATCAGTGGCAAGAAAATTTAGGTAACATCATCAATAATATATAAAATATCGTGCTGTCACTTTACTGAAGATTTTGAAACCTATGCTAATTCAGTTAGCACAGTTCATAGCAAGTTTTTTTGTGACATTGATTGCATTGTACTTAGCTTAGTAAAAATGGTAGTATAGATTAACCCACTGAGACAGGGCCATGTGAGCCAAAGTAAAGAGATCAGAGTCATCTCTCATTTGAGTCATTGTTACAGCTTTGTGTATATTTAATTACAGGACTATTCCCCGATGTGGGTGGAGGCTATTTCTTGCCGAGACTTCAAGGAAAACTGGGCTACTTCCTTGGACTGACAGGATTCAGACTAAAAGGAAGAGATGTATATGGAGCAGGAATTGCCACACACTTCGTAGATTCTGAAAAGGTAACTGAGTGGTTACAATCATGAATTTTTGCCACATATGGCTGCAAACCCTGACCTGTTGCTTATATATAGCTGTATAACCTTGAGAATTTTGTGTGACCTTCCTGATTCTCAGTTTTCACAGGTAAAACAGAGGTCATCCTATTGGGATTCAGTGCTATCTTACCTTGCACCTTCATGAATATTTTTAAAGAATCGAGTCTATTTTAAAAGTAATGCCTGTCTTAATAAATTCTCATATATAAAATCAAAATTAATCTTTTAAAATAAATACATTTTTGAAGGATTCTCTTGGTTGTGAGTTTCCTTGTGGATGTGTTTAAAATAACTGCATTTGTAAAATACGGTCTTAGGACTTTTCTAAACCAATCCTGCTGCATGGATACATGTTTCTTATCTTTGTCTTTTGTTGTTGTTTCTTGAGACGGGAGGTAACTTCAGGCTGGCCTCCTGCCTCAGCCTCTCAAGTGCTGGGGATTCAGACGTGTACCACTACACACTGCTTTTTTTTTTTTTTTTTTTTTAAACAATAGCATGGGATAGCACAGCACAGAGTGTACAAATAGTATGAGTTTAAATCCTAGCTTGAATTTAGCCTCTCAGTTTTCCCATCTGCGATGAGGATGACGATAGTACATAATAGTTGGAGATTCTTTTGAACCAATTTGAGGTGGTTTTCTCCCCAGAATTCTCAGCAAGAGCCCTCAGACTTACTGTGTTGGCTGGCTTAGCTCACTGACTACACTGGCTTCTCTGGCTCCTGAGCCACATGGGCAGGTGGGACACACAGCTGGCCAGTTTGTACTGAGCACGCCCTGTCCTTGTAGTTGTGGGGTAAAGTCTCTCTCTGGAGGAAGCACGTGATCTTCAAACGATACCTCGTCTTGAGAGAAGAATGTTTCAGGAGGATGGATGGAAAGGACTATTATAAAAATTAAATTAGAAAATTTATGCTACATGCTCAGCCCAGTGACTTTCATACAGTAACATTCAAATTTCAAATTAATATTTTTAAATTTAGCACATAGTGTGTGTGTGATTTTTTTTTTTTTTAAGAGGTGACATTTTTCTTTGAATCACAGGAATGGACTACTGTATTCATGTGCCACTTTCTAAAGTTTTTCCGTTTGGGGCACTGGACATTCAGACTATTCTACAAATCCCAAGGATGGTTAACAGATCATAAATCTGTAATGTCACACAACCTCTCTGACCTGCCAATCAATCATCAAAGTAAAACAACTGCTTAACATAAAAATGTATTGCTTGACTGCTAAGAATTCTCTTCAAAGTTTATAAAATAGCTGTGAAAGTTTTTAATGTTAGTTAACCCTGGTCTTGTTTCTCACACTGTTATGGATTCTGAAAAATGTATGAAGTGTGGGAATTGAGGGTGCTCCCTGTCCAGTGTTACAAGTTGAAGCTTCCGGTCTGTCTTGTTCTGTGGGCCTCCTCAGATACATGGCTGTGTCGTCCTTCCCTATGCTGAACCGGGAAGTCTGCACGGCAGAGCCACCCTTGATAATAGTGGAATTTAGTTAAGGGTAGGAGAGAAAGTGGATTTGTAGTCTTTTGCCCCCTTTGTAAGCTTGCCCAGTAATAGTATCTGCAGCAGATGAACCACTAGTCACAGGGCCTACAGGAGACACAGAAATGAGTAATAAGCATCGAGGATGGATCGGAAGTGGCCCAGAAGGTAAATCACTCTGTGTCATCTGGCAGAGTACAATGTGATGAGTGTAGAAACAGGATATGTGCAAAGAAACTACTCAGGATTGAAAAGAGCTTCCTATGAGAGAGGACTGAAGCTTTTTTCTCAGGTTGTCAGGAAATGGCATCCAAGTCAGACAAACCCCAGGGCCAGGGAAACGGCCAGAAGTCCCTTGGCTGTAGGACGGATTGTGGGGCTTAGATGGCAGAGGGAGTGGGGCTATTTCTACAGAGCTGCACGGTGGTGACTATAGTAGCCTCGAATGTGTGGCGGTCTTACATAAAATTAATGTAAGGCTGTACCTCCGTTCATGAACTTAATTTGTTCCATGGTTTTGGAAAAGGTGACTGTAGTCATCTTTGTCACCAAATGTAGAGTTTGCAGACAAAAAACAGAATTTTGCCAAATGTTTTTGTGAACCAAATTGTTCAAAATTTGTGAACCGAGGAACCACTGTAAATCAGTATTTGTAAATCAGACCTTTGGGTGAGATGGAGGATCAGTATCTTTTATCTGAAATACTTGGGACCAGCAGTGTTTTGGACTGGATTTGGGGTTCGCATCAGTTCCTTTGTCTCTATCCATTCTCCTGAGGCAGCGTTGGGTGTGCGGGCCTGGGTGTGCATTATACTCGTACCATTTCTCTCGGGGGCTCGGCTGGAGTGAGAGCGTCTGTATTTTGAGAGAAGCATTCTAGGAAAGAATAAGATTTAGTAGCTTTCGGTGTCTCTGTGGAGTTTCTAATCTGTTTTCCTTTTCCCCTTCCTTTAGTTGGGCATGTTAGAGGAAGATTTGTTAGGCTTGAAATCTCCTTCCAAAGAACACATCACAGAAGTCCTAAGAACCTACCACACAGAGGTAATCCTGCCCTGTTCTGCCTCTGGGTTTTATGGGAAAAAGTGAGCTGTTGGCAAATCTTAGGGTCATTGTGTCTTGCCGCCGCCGCTGAGCTTCGGTGCAGGGCCTTGTGGTCGGCCCTTGCAGAGGCTCTCACCATGCAGTGTGGCTTTTCTGCTGCAGGGGCCCCGTGCTCACACTGCAGAACAACTAAGTGATATGCTTCCGTGTCTCTAATAACATATTTAGCAGTATTTCATTCCTTATGTTACCTAGCTTAAATTTTCTTATAAAGGCCAAGACTATAAGAACACATAAAATCTAGTTGTACATTTATGATAATGAATTCATGCTTCTTTCTGAAATTCTACTAAAATTGTAATACTGGGATAAAGCATAAATCCACAAAGTCAAATAGAAGAGGAGACAGCAGCAAGTGTGAGATGTCAGTATTTTGGAAGCTCAGAGCAGGAGCAGAAGGGTCAAGGTAGCTAACAGACCTGAGAATGCTGAAGTTGTTCTTCAGCGTGGGCAAGAGGTGAGCAGACTCCTGCCGTAGACCCCTGGAAAGAAGCCAGTTTTCTCTGAAGATTGGTGTGCAGGATTGGGGAGTGACTCAGCGATGGAGATTTGCCTTGCATGTGCAAGCCCTGCTTAGACCCCTAGCACTGCCAAAAAAAGAAGAAAGACTAGAATGTGGATGGAGCAGAAAGACAATTTCTTGTAAGTTTGTATAAGCAGCAGTTAAATTTTTAAAAGTCCTCATCCTGTACAACCAAGAGTGGCTGTCTTCTCCTACCAGCAGAGTAGAAACTTACTCTTTAGAGACCAAAGTGGACAGTGTGAGGGCAGGTTGGTGAGGTCTGTAGTGAAAAGAGGAGACACGTACCTCTGAGAAGACCCACAGCCCTCTGGCCAGTTGGCTTGCAGAGCCAGTGTGGACCACCAGTGCCTGAGCATAGAGGAAAAGAAACTATAGATGCTGATAGTCATAGCCCCCTAATGAAATGTTGATATTTGACTGATGATCTTATAAGATACCTGTAATTGATAGTCCTTTGAGTTGACATTACACAGAAAGCTTCCTGTCCTTCACAGAAAAACAAGTGTTGCTGGGGCAAAACAAAAAAGGCAATAAAAGATGGCAGACAGTGCAAAGAAAAGAGACTTTAAAAAACAAAAGTAACTCCAAAAACTTATAATTGTTCTCTTCAGATGAGAGAAAATGTCTCACTAAGGAACAACATATTATAATGAGGAGAATAAAAAATTCAAAATGTTATCACAAGTGGGAAAACCCCACAACAGATTGATTAAAATTGCAGTTGAGGAGAAACTCTTAAGAGGGGAAAAAGGCTACTAAGATGGGATATGGAGGTCCAGTACATGAACTTAACTCTTTCCACAATTCTGGTCACAAACTGAACTGGATAAAAATAGAATCAAATTCAGTGGTTAGGTTCAACATTGACCTAATGGGGAAATTTCAGAAACATGGAAAGAATTAAGTTCCTAAACCAAGGTATTAATTTATTTAATTATTAAGAATTCATTACTGAGGAGATGAGGTAGAGCAATAGTACAAAAAAGTTACCCAGAACTGAAGAGCGCCAGAGTTCTCACGGCCAGGGCCTGTGAGTCCTCATTGTGACTTGGATGGAGAGGGCCTGTTCGTGTCTTCTTGGGGCATTGACGGCTTCTGATGTCATGGTGTGTGGAAGCTGAAGTACCTCCCAAAGCGTTCTCTTCCACATGTAAGTGGTAATCCGGGTGTCGTTTCGGACATACTTTTCTCAGTGATTTGGATGAGAATGTTGACAGCATTTTGATCAAATTGACTTTAAGAAATGTAAGTTAGGGAAAGGAATATGGATAAAAAAAATCCCTTTGAGTTTAGAGTACTCTATCTAATAGTAACTTGTGAAATTGAGTAGGGATAAGTGGGAACAAAGTACTCATGGTGTAGGATGACTTCATAGTAGAAGACAGGAAGAAATGTAGCCTGGGCACAGATTTTGTTCAAGTTTAGTTGATTGGAGTTTGGAATAAGTAAGCTGAGTAGTGGGCATGGGTCAGCACTAACCAGCAGTGTCCTGTTTGCAAAATTGTATTAAAACAAGCGTGGCCTGGAAGCCTTTTGCATTTCCGTTGTGCTTAGCTCTGATCCAGCCCCACCTGAAGCCGTGCTGTGCGGTCCTCACTTTATGAATGACCCTGGCAGCCCCTGGATCATGAAGGTGCATAGAATGGTGCCATGTGCCAAATGAATAAGGTAAAATAGAGTAACTAGAAATATAAACACAAGGGACTGAACATCAGGAACTGATGACTGGAGTTGCCAAGCACCTTCCTCTGCCTACAGGTCAGAGCTGCCAGTCACCAGGAGGTAATGGGAATTTCTTGGTTGGCAGGATGAGCTCTCAGGCCTCCCACACTCCCTAGAATCATAGGTGCACTTAGATCTTAATGACATAAAAATACAGGAACACTTTCATCCTTTGACACTGAAGAATACGACATGCTCTCTGAATCTTGAGCTATGGTGGTAGTTAAGTATGAGACTGTTAGATGTAAAAGTGACAGCCTGTCACAAGGTGTATCAATACATGTGAAATTTTAGGAATTTTAAAAAGTTTTGATTTACTTCAAATTTTTTTTCAACAGTCCAAGATTGATCGAGACAAACCTTTTATACTTGCAGAACATATGGACAAAATAAACAGGTACTTTAAAAGAGATCTCAATTATACTATTTTGGAACAACCACATGAAATTGAATTTACTAAAGTTGTAATTGTGCTTGACAATGCATCAAATTCAGAGATCAGGTAGCATAGTGCTTTTATTTTCACTTAACTTTGAAAGTAACTTAGATAATCTTCCCATGCTAATTTTTAATGCAAAATGCCTGTTTTTTAAATGAGAAGAGAGCCTAGAAAGTAATGATTGAGTTAATGTATCTTCTGTCTTTGTAGTCATCTTTATCTGAAGGTGAATGTCTACAGTGACTTAGGAAATTGACAGAGCAGCTAAGGAAAGAAGAGGAAGAAAACTTAGAAAATAATAGCTCCATCTCTTCTTTTTAGAAGCATGTTTTCCCACAGTTGGGATATTTATTTATATATTAGCATCATCCATGTAAAAATGCAAAAGAAAAGATTTAGGATTTATTTTGCACTAAACATAAACTATAAACATCTTTACCCAGGGAAATAATGTTCTATTTCATCATTCTGTAAAATAAGTTAGAAAATTCTTCATTATTAAAATGGGGCTGAGGGAAGCCTGTGTTCAGATTTGTTCACATTTTAGAAATAGGAAATTACTTGCACATTGGTGAAATCTAGCATTTGCTTTTTTTATAGGTGTTTTTCAGCCAAAACTGTGGAAGAGATTATTGAAAACTTACAGCAAGATGGCTCACCTTTTGCTTTGGAACAGTTGGAGGTAATAAAAAATGCTTGGCTCCTGTCTACCCTAAGTGCAGTAAAGTCTTAGGGCAGGGAAGCATTTGTGAGGAGTCTCTGTGCTCTATGGTGGTAATATAGCCTTCGAAAGTACAGTGGACCCTTGCCTTATGAACTCAGTTCATTCATAAGGGCTGGTTGTAACTCAAGTTGGTTGTAAGTCAAAACTGTTTTTACCATTATAAATAATGGGAATACCAGTTATGTATTCCAGACCTCCCAAAGCACCCTTTAACCTTTTCATAGCTAAAAAAAAAAAGATGAATAATGTGCATAATTTATCAGAAACACCAATAATTTTCCTAGTGTACTCACTAAAACGTTATAAAATGTGCCTAGTTTACCAGAAACAACAATTTCATGCTGTACTCACCATTCAAGTTGACATCTTTGGCTCTCTGGTGTCCTTTCCTTGGGAGAGTCTGTAGCCCACAAAGACCTGCTTCTGGCCATTAGGTCTCAAACTTTTCAGAACTAAAAAGTGGTCTACGGTTGTCTATTTCTGTCTTTTCTTTAACACTGTTCTGTAGTATGATATGACATTGTCATTAAGGAAGTGAATGCAATGATTGACCTTTTCTCTGAGTGGGTGTTGTCTACAAATGTTTGTATCTTCGTCCATTTTTTGAGCATTTCCTTTATTTCAAAAGAACTTTGCTGCACCGATTGTTCATACTTCAGAAAGCTCCTCAGCTGCCATTCTCTGTTGCTCAGCCAGAAGTTGCAGAAGTTCCTCTGTAGAAAATTCCACTGAGTGTTCCTCCACCCATTCCTCAACATCACCACTGTCCACCTGCAGGCCTGTGGACTCTGCTGTAGTGACAGTGTCATCAACCGCAGGGTCAATTGAAGGCTCAGGCTCCTCTACACAGCCTTCAGAGTCTCTCTCCTGTATAATTTTAGGCCACACTTTTGTCCAGGCAGATGGCCCAGAATTTCTCAAGTTAACTCCACACAGGAAAGGAAGTTGATGTGTTCCTTCCACAACTCTTTAAGGGTTAAATCTGTATCAGATGACCTGGAAGCACTTCAGGAACAGTTCTTTGGTGTATAGCTTCTTAAATTAACTATAACCTGCTGGTTCAAGGCTACACTAGAGGAGTTGTATTAGGTGGGAGGAACTCAACTGAGAGCCATGGGAATTCTTCGGCCAGTTCTTCTTTCAAATCTCGTTTGAGCAGGAGCATTGTCCATGGTGAGGAGGGCCTTCCATAGAAACCTCTGTCCTCTAGATATTTCTTAACAGGATAGAAAGCCTCTCTGATCCACTCAAGAAAAAGTACTGTTGTTACTCAGGCTTTTGTGTTAGATCTCCACATGACCCCTAGCCTATTCTTCATTACTTTGTTTTCTGACCACTCTAGGGGTCTCGGGGATAAACCAAGAGGTTATCTTGTGGTTACCACTCACATTGGCACATAGCAGTAATTTTAGCCTATCCTTCAGAGGCTTGTGGCTTGGCATTTTCTTCTCTCCTTGGGTACTGTATGTTTTCCTGAGTATTTTCTTCCAGAAAAGGCTCATTTCATCACAGTTGAAAACTTGTGAGAGCAAAAGCCGTATCTCTGTGTCATCATTTCCTGGTGGTGTATGTAATTTTCAGCAGCCCTTTTATCAGCACTGGCTGCTTCACTGTGCCTGTTACACAATGAACCCTACTTCACATTTTAAAACTGTGAAACCACCCCCTACTGGCACGGTATGTTTCACCATTATCACTTATTGATGGGTTATCCTTCACAAGATCTACATTTGTAGCCCTAGGTTTTTCACAGATTGTAGACTTGGGCTATAACCTGCCACCTGCCTTTTGTTTATCCATACTAATAATAACCTTTCTACATCATCTAACACTGTTGATTGTGACTTACTAATTGAGTAAGCAACACTAGCTTCCTTATACAAAGCTTTTCTGTAAGATTGTTGAGATGGTGGATTTCAGCATGCTGTACATGTTAGCAAGATCAGTCACACGAGTGGCCCTCTCGTATTTCTCCACAATTTCCTTTTCAATTGTGATTGTTTCCTTTACCTTCCTTTCCTTCCTTAGCTTCTTTTCTAGTTTTTTGGGGGCCATTTTTTGCCTCTTTTTTTTTTTTTCTGGTACCTGGGATCAAACTTGGGACCTTGTACTTTCAAGGAAGGCATGGTACCAGTGAGCTAAATCCCGGGCCCTTGAGGACCATTTTGATAGCAGCAATTGTAGTGATTATATAAAGCACTAACCTAAGTTGTGTCCACAGACATGAACATCTGGGCTCAGACTGATACTTAAGCTTACATACGCTTTTCTGACATCACGAGTCTTTGTTTGCAACCAACCAACCATACGAGCAGCCCACATTAAATTAAATGAAGTTGCGATTGCATTCAGCTACTCATTTGAGTGTAGTCATGCAGCGTATTGCAGTGCCTTGGAGTCTGTGTGGTGTCACTTTATAGTGCAGTATGTGCTGTATTGGTTTAAAACCACTAGCTTGCCCCCAAATGGAAGGGTAGGAACCTGGTAGCCTTTGAAGTTTTCTTCCCACGTGATGCCACATTCAGCGAGCAGATAAGCTTCCCTTCACATTGGGGTCACTGTCCCTACTCTTGTTAGAGTGGGAGATTTTCATTTTCAGTCACTGACCTCAGCTCTCGCTCCAAACATCAGTGTCTGCTGGGAAGAACATGATGTGGGGGTCAAAAGACTCTTCCTTGACAGAGCTGAGTCACACGGCTCCTTTTCATTACATGAGCTACAGGGTACGCTAAAAACTAACTCTGAGGTTAAAGATAGTTGTTAGCGACTTGTTCAGGGTTGGTCAGCATATTTTAAAGACGGTTGAACACTTCAGTCTGCAGACCACTGGGGCTCCTCGTCCTTCTGCAGACCCCACAAAGTCAGGAACGCAGATGCATTTCTCCTCACAGCTGCCTTCTCTTTCTGGGCAGTCCCTGTCTCTCAGAGTCTGTGGGGAAGGACACAGGTATTGGTGTATTTGCTAATTATTAAATAAAAAACAAATTTAAAAATTCTTACATTTTAAGTTTCTACTGCTGCTACAAGATAGCATATGAGGTTTAAAAAATGATAAATATAGGGAATTTGGAACTTTCATAATACTTTATTTTGTGGCTTCTAATTTTCTGTTTTAGATTGTCCCTCAAAGTCTCCATGAATTTTTTTTTTTTACTGCATAGGGTTAGAATTCCTCAGACCGCCTTTTATTTCCTAATTTTGGTTTTTAAGATAGTTCAGGCTGTCCTTGGTCTCACTGTGTAGCCTCCGAGTCGCGGCAGTCGTCCTGCCTCAGTCTCCGGGGAGGGGCGTTGGATTGCAGGCATGCACCGTCACACCCAGCTTCAGAGTTCCTGTTAGTCCCTCTTGTCAGGTTGTACAGAGTGCCAGATAATCCATCAGCTAGTGTGCTAAGCACCCTGGCTGACAGGTGGGTGCTTACATTAGGGAACCTTCACAAGGTTCCTCCTAATAATGCTCTCGCGTTCACACGAGTAGGCGTTTAATTGTGTAAGGTCTGAGTGTAAAGTCACATTGTGACCGCTTGCGTGCGGCTCGGCGTTCCTAGGTGTACTCACTTCATGCAGCAGCTTCTGGCACACTTTGACCTAGCACAACTGAAATGGCCATTGAGCCGGTCTGCAGTCCCCTCCCTGTACCCTCTGACCACTTCAACTTCTCGTACTCCATACAGTTTGTCCTCTGTGACTGCCTTATTCCACTTAGCGTAATGTCCTCAGGGTTCATCTGTGCAGTGGCGTGTGTCAGAATTTCCTTCCTTTCTAAGGCCAAAGACTCCCCCCTGCATGGGCATTGCACGCTTTGCTTATCTGTTCATCTATTACGGATATTGGGCAGCGACCACTGGATGTGGATACAGGGCTGCTGTGAGTACAATAACGTGCTATGAAAGTGGGCGTACAAATAACTCTCCAAAGCTATGCTTTAGTTCTCCTGGATGCGCACGTAGTAGTGGAATTGCCAGACGGGGTAGTAATTCTGTTTTTGTTCCTCACAGTGTTATTGTAGTGTTTCTACCACAGTTGTACACGCTCGTGTTTCCACCAAGAGTATGAAGGTCCATTCCCTTCAAATCCTTGTCAGCACTTGTTATGTGTTTTCTTGATAGTAGCCATCCTAGTGGTCGAGAGGTAATAGCTCAGTTAGTTTTGACTTGAATTTCTAGTAATTACTGATTTTGAGCATCTTTTCATGTGTTTGTTAGCCATTTGTATATCTTCTTTGGAGAAATACCAGTTTAAGTCTTCTGCCCATTTCTGAATTGGGTTTTGCAGGGACTTTTTGCTTTTAAGTTACAGGAAGTGTTTTTCAGTGCTTGGGGTTGAAGATGGGGCCTTGCACACCCTCGGCAAGTGCCACTAAGCTGTGGCCGCAGCCCAGCTGTCACTTCTGGACATCCTTGTCTGGTGGTGAGACTGCCGCACATCCTCACCTCCTTACGTTCTAAGGTAGCGTCCTCTGTGGGTATTCGTGGCTTCTGATGATGTCTAAGCACTGCTTAGCTGTTTGGGATCATCAGTTATGCCAGGCGGGCTCCAAATGTAGATATGTAAAGTTGTAGGTACAGAATTTTTTGTGACAGACTAGAAAATTTTGTCTGGTTCTTTGGCACCAAATCTTTCATAAGATTTTGGCATATGAAGGAACCTGTAAGTGCTATATTTTAATAACTTACATAGAAATTCAGTTTATTACAAATGATAATGGAGCTGTAATAATAGCTATTATTTTTTTCCCCAAAGGTGATTAAAAAAATGTCTCCAACATCCTTAAAGATCACACTAAGGCAGCTCACAGAGGGAGCCTCGAAGACCTTGCAGGAAGTACTCACCATGGAATACCGGCTAAGTCAGAGGTTCATGGTAAGAGGATGGATTACTGAGAGTATCATCACACTGGAGTCAGGAGAAAATGTGTACTCATTGTAGAGCGTGTCACATATGGAAGAGGATAAATAAGAAAGTCGCAGCTATCTGTAAATGAAAACAAACGGGCCAGTTCACCTCCCAGATGGCTGTGAAGCCTCTGTGTAACGAAAGCATAAGAAGGCCTCTAACCTCATGTGAAATTCAAGATAGGCAGTACCAAGCATGGTCTCTGAGCTGTGGCAAGAAGTATAAACACTCCAAATCTGAATTCCTATATTGGTAAATCAGAACTAGTACTTAAAAGCAGACAGACATACAATGACAGAAGGAAGTTATCAGTCTGTTACATGTTTTGTAACCGATAGGCTAACATTGGGAGCACCATCATAAGTACAGTCAGCAATCATACGGAATGTTCGTGTCATGAAAGATTCTACAGTCATGGTTTCTTCTGTTTCCATATGTTAAACTGTTCTTCCAATTTTAGTATATGTGCTGCTGAAGTGAGCACAACTTTTTAAAGGCAAAAATCACTTGTTACATTCAGAGAGCCCTTAAAAAGTCTTATTATTTAGATTAACAAATTGAAAGTCAAAGTGAATATTTAGCTTAATAACCAGAAAGCAGACATTCCTCCTGCACTTCCAGGTCTTGAAGTAGTTATTAAGATATCTAATAAGCAGTAAAATTCTTGGCCATATATTAGAGTCACTCCTTGGACCACATCAGTGGCAGCTGCAGTCTATGAAATGCACATTATGAGCAGGTGCTGTGCCGGTCATCTTACCTGTGTGTCCTCTGTGAAACAAGATGCCATCTCCAGAAGGATGGTACAGTTACCTCTGTGGACAGAGGTGGAAACTGTAGCTTAGAGCAGTGACGTGCAGCCGCTGAGTGGCAGAAACAAGGCGTGCAGCCGGATGTTCTTTGGCCAGTGGGTGCCTGCTTTCTGTGGTACTGGGAGTGCACTGCCCGTGCCTGCTTCCCTTCCTCCTCCCGATGCGCTAGCTCCTCGCCAGCGCTGTTCCAGTGTTCAGTTCTGATCAGATCAGGAAGGCACAATCCTTTATTTCATGCAGATTAGTTTACTGAGAAAGTAAACAACTAAACAAAATAAGTCAGATAACTGTAACTTATGGTAAGTGCTCAAAGAGAAACCCACAGGCTTGGTTATAGAAGAAAATGCCACAGGGACAGGATGGAGTTGGGGAGGCAAAGGAAAACTAAGTGGGTCAGGGAAGACGTCTTTGGGATGTTCCTCCCTCATCCGTGACCTGAAGGAGGAGATTGAGAGTGTTGAGTGACCTCTTGGTTTTAAAGCAGGGGGTGATTTGGTTTTTCATTTGTTTATGTTCATTTTGTTCTAAGAAGGCAGTGATTGCTGCATCCTAGAGACAGGGTTGAAGGGGTTTGAGCATGGGTAGAGGAACCAGAGAGGCATTTACTGCAGTGATCAGGTGCCGAGTAGCAGTGGGGTAGGACAGGGTGACTGGAGAGAAGCGGATGTGGGAGGCCGAACTGGAGACATGTTGGATATGAGGGAGAGGATGCACGGGGAGCTGGAGATGTGGGTTAGAGATTTAAGGCTGAAGGACGTTAACACCTCTAATAACTTCTGGGGATTTATTATCTCAATGAGAGTACTTAGCATGGGTTACCAAGGTTTACTGTAAGTAAACAAAACCAGCAAATCCCTTCCTTGGTAGTGGAGAGATAAGATGCAAATAAGATAAATACATAAAATCTGTATTAGTATAAATATTAAAGAGAAAAGAATGAAGCCAGGAAGTAAGATGAAGGCTATAGAGTGATGGGGGTTAAGTGGTAGGTGGGCTGAGCCAAGAAGGCCCCGCCGAGGTGTTCCGAGTGAAGACCTAACAGGTGCGGACCTGGTGGTGCCTGTCTGGAGGAAGCTGCTGGCAGAGGGGGAGCTGGGGTTGTGCAGTGACCAGGAAGGGAACGGGATTCATCACCATCACCTGTAGTGGGCCCTGGATGTGAACCCGACCCTCGGATGTGTGCGCTTGACCACAGTGACAGAAGGGGACAGGGGACCTCCTCAGCTGAGGTCTGGAGGAGCTGTGTGCTGGAACGCTGGGAGAGGGCAGTCCCTTCCGCAGTCAGGAGAGGAGGTAGGGGCAGGTGGCTGCTGGAGCAACAAGTGTTTTAGTGGTGAGAACATGAGAATGTTCATTTTTTTTTTTTACTTAACTGATGAAAGAGGTTAAGTCATTAGCTGAGATTTACAGTAAGAGTCGAATGTGCTCCAAGGATAGAGGCCAAGAGAACATGAAATAGTTTAAATCCTGATCTTGGGGAGAGGGGACTAGATCTTGGATTGTGTCAGGGTTTCTGTACCTGTTTTTAACATTTGTGGCCGTGAATTTTAAATAAAACTGCTCACAGTTGTGATTTTTCTACAGCAAGATAAAATTGCTCAATCAAATGCAAGCAGAGCTCAGTGGTGGGGATTTTGCCAGGCATGTAGAGGGGGAAGAGATCTGGGGAGGATGAGGACATTTTCCATGGAGAGTAGGAGAGCGGCTGGGGGCAGTTGCGGTCAGGAGAGAGGACAGTGGTTGACACGGTTCTCAGAAGGCTGCCATCCGGGTGTCTCCAGCACATGGCTGGTGGGTGGAAGGGGGGCTCACCAGGAATACAGACACCCGGAAATGACCCTTTTTGATCTTGATCATCTTCCAGAGTTATCATGACTTCCATGAAGGCATTCGAGCTGGTAAGTGACAAAGAGTTGTTCCCTTATGGGCCAGCAGGGAGGTGGGATTTGTGAGCATACATTGGTAATTGATGGTGGCAATTTTATTAATGAAAACTCAACTTTTGTAAAGATTTCAGAGTTGTATTTGTTAAAATATAAGCATCTACAGCCAGGCATGGTGGTATACATCTGTAACCCCAGGTACTCAGGAGCCAGAGGCAAGAGGATCACAAGTTCTAGCCCAGCCTAGGCAATTTAACAAGAGCCCATCTCAAAATAAAATTTTAAAAAATACTAAGGATATAGCTCAGTGGTAGAACACTGGCCTTGAATGTGTAAGGAAGGCCTGGGTTCAATTCCCAGCACCCCAAAAATAAAACCATCTAGAATATAAAGGGAGGTCAGTCTTTGAAACTAATATTATTTTAAAATTCACCTGACTTGGTCACTGCTCCCTTATTTACTTACAGATCAGAGGCAGTGCTGCTCGTACAGTCAGGTGACTGCAAGTAGAGCAGTGGTCAGACCCTACCACCTGCCTCCTTGCCTGTCCCTGAGCAGTTAAACCTTGCTGTGCAAAACACATATGCCATTATGCTTTCCACTTTTTCTTATCATCTCCAAAGCCAGCCTATTTTTAAAAAGCAGGTGAAGTCACTAATTTTTTTTTCCTAGCAAACTACTTAATAAAGTACAGGCCTTTTTTTTGTTTCCTCTTCTTTTGCAGTCCTGGGGGTTGAATCCAGGACCTCCCACAAGCTAGGCAAATGCTCTGTTACTGACCTTCCCTGGCTCTGGGTAGACTTTATGTGAATGAAAAGTTTGTTTTCTGAATCTAAGCTTTGTTAATACCAACCCCTGCTGTAGAACTTTCTTAATTTTCAGCATGGTGAGATAGCAGAAAGAAGCACAGGGTTCCAACCCTTTTGGAAGGCCATGGGGTTGAGTCAGAGCAGATGGCTGTTACGTTTTATACAAAACCAATTACAATACACATTTTCCACACCAGTGTCCTGTAGATTCTTGCTCCATGGGATTTAGAACCTACCCCTCTGATTTTAGGAGGACCTGATACTACAGTATTTGGTTTATGTTGTTAACATATTCATTGTTATGCTAGTCCTTCAGAAGAAAGGTGGTATTTTTAGAAGTTTTGTTAAGAAAAAAACTGAAATCATGCCTCAGAATTCTGATTCAAAAAGTGCTTATCAGCTACCTTTTTAATGAGAGAATATATTCCAGAAATATTCAGAAAGAACATTTATGACTTGTAAAAGTGTGTAGTGTTCTTGCTACAATTTGGTGACTATATAAATAAGTTAGCAAATTAGGAAAACAGCTGTTAGAAAATTCTTACTCTTGGGCTGGGGATTTAGCTCAGTGGTTCCACCATGTGCCTCAAAGTGCAAGGACCCAAGTTCAATCCCTGATACAAAAAAAAAAAATCTTACTCTCAAAATCTAGGATAAGCTTTCTGGTAATCGAAGAAAAGAAAAGATGGATGTTCTTACCAGAGCCAGGTAGCTACCACGTAGAGTCTGGGTGTCTCCAACCACCTCACAGAGCTGCTGCATGGCAAGAATTTGTCTGCTCTAGGCAAAAGGGTTTGTTCACTTGAAATAAAGTGACACCAGGTTTGGTTAGTAGTCTGTTTTTGTCCTTCATTAGAACCTCATGGAGGTAGACAGAATTGGCCAGAAGACTTAAAGCAGAAATTCTCATGGAAGGAGTGTCCCACAGTGACCGTCTCTGCTGTCCAGGGAATTCAGAACTCAAATTGGTAGGGATCAGACCATCAGTGTTTGATACCACCGCCCATTTCATTCCAGAACCCTTAGTGTACACAGCCAAACCCTAAGAACCGCCAGCATTGAGCCAGGCATGGTGATGTTCACCTGTAGTCCCACCTACTGGAGAGGATGAGGCATGAGGACTTCCTGAATCCACAGCTTTGAGATCAGCTTGAGCAACACAGACCCCCATCTCAAGAACAACGTTGCAGTATCCATTTAATTATGTATAAAGCTTTCTTCCCTCCACCTGCCCAGGCAGGCTTCTTTTTACTGTTTAACCTTTTAATGGTTCAATTAGGTTTTTCCACTTCTCTGTAATTTGTGTATTTAAATGTTCCCAGTCATCACTGGAGTTGTGCACATTGAAGCATGGTTGAGATTTGCTACCACAACTGTGTTTTTTAAAGATACTGTGGATTCACACACAGTTGTGATAGATAATACTGAGATCCGCCCAGTTTTGTGTCACTGGAGTGAAATAGGATCATTCTTTTTAAGAAGCGGTAATAGATTGCTTCATGGTCTCGGTCCTGTGGGGATATTATGTGGTACGCCAAGTGATGACCACATTGAAATAGGAGAAGTAGAAGGCTTCAGGATAACCTGACTGTGGTCTGATTTTTAAGTTGGAGCTGTCTTGAACTTGAGGATTCGCAGAACAGCAGTCTCCACATTTAACAATGGCTAAAGTCTTCCCTCCACCTGAAGTGAGTAGTTTTCCTCCCAAAACCAAATGTGGCAGAGGTTGCAGAGCTGACCCTTTGCCTTCCCTGTAAACAACACCAACACTGGTGTTAGCTGTTTCTTAGCATGGAGATTTAAAAATTTTGTCTGAAAAAAAGAATGTACACCACTGGATTCAGCTTTAGTAACACTTAAAGTTGGAGACATGAAGGTAAGAGATAAGAAAATACTTGCAGTAGATAACAAAAATATGTCATCTGTTCAGATTCCTTGAGGGTTGAATTTGAAAGAGAGAATATGTAGGAAAACGTAAACTTTGCAGAGAAGACATGCTATAGAAAAACATACCCATTCAAGACAGTTTGTCACCTTAGTAATTAAACTCTAATAGTACCAGAAAGAGATGCCCTATCATCTGTATCTTCTTTTGACAACTGTGTCTTCTTTTTTACAGTTTTAATTGATAAAGACCAGAGTCCAGTGTGGAAACCAGCTGCCCTAAAAGAAGTGACTGATGAAGAGTTGGATAATTATTTTAAACCACTGGGAAGCAATGATTTGATTCTTTGAACTGACTGTTCTTTCAAAATACTGCAGTTTGGAGCAAGGGTTGGCAAAAGTATAGCACATGGGCCAAACCTGGCCTGCTGTCTGTTTTTATCTAGCCTGCAAACTAGAAATGGTTTTCTATTTTTAAGTGGTTGGGAAAGAAATCAAGACTAATACATCATGATGTGTGAAAATTGTAATAGCTCAAATATCACTGTCCATAAATTACTTTATGGGAACATAGGTGCACCATCTGCTTATGTGTTGTCTGGCTGGAGTGAGTATTGGCAACAGGACGTGGGTGACCTGCAAAGCCTGAAGTCTTGACTGTCCCATCCCTGTCAGAAAAACGGGGAAACCCTGATGTTTCTGGACATTCTTAAGTAGTTCTATCTAATTGAAATAGGAATTTTGTTTAACCAACATATAAACCACTACTGAAAGCTAAATACAGACTCAGGTACAGATCATAAAAAAGATCTTGGATTTGGGGGGAGGATGCTGTGTAAATGCTTCATAGACTTTGCTTTATTTGGATATATTTTGAAGTAACTTTTGAGTTCTTTTATAATCCTGAGAAATCATGGGCAAAGACGGATGCATCTATGAGAACATCTCTACAACACATATCAGGCTTGGCCCTCCCTGAGGAGATCAGTGTGCCCTTGTGGTGAGAAAACATCATTTCTTGCAACTTGGGATTATCAGCTAGTGGGGATTGAAGAACTCCAGTCTCTAAGACACACTCTGCTTTTTGTAATTTAAAAAAGTTAACAGTTTAAAATGCCTTCAATAATTGGTACTGCTGACAAGTGTTCTTTAAGGTACGAAAGAAGCTGCATGTTGTCCCTGGCTAAGGATCTTAAAGTTCTGGGTAAGAATAATTTCTATGTACTGTTTATCTGTAACTTCTTACAGTAGCTCCACCCACCCCTCAGAAACGGAGACCTCTTCCATATATAAGAACAAAAATCCAGCAGGAATGAAAGGACATCAGAGGTGATGGCCCGCATCCTCCTCACAGGTGCAGAGCGGAGACACTGCTTAAATGTTCTTCAGAAAATTCAGGCACAAATTTGGAGTAAAGATGCTATGACATGTTTACACTTATACTTACAAAATCAAACTGGACCAAAATAATTCAAGAAATTAACACAAATGTTGACTCATACAATGTTGAAAGTTTTTGCATCAAGTAATTAACTCATAGCTAATTATAATGACTTTATTGTATTTACAGAAATGTTTACACAAAAATATTTGGAAAAATATACCACCCCACAGCTGGCTGTTACAAGAAGGAGGATTTGCTAACAAAAGCTGAGTTTTGTAGATTAAGACAGGTGGCACTCCTGAGCAGTGCTCACGGCTCATTTGGGCATTCAGACAGAGCGAGGGCATTTCGATTAAACCATGTATTTAGAACTTTGCTTGTAAACTACTGTTCCCCGACATTACTTATAATGTGTCTCTTAACTTTTGATTTCTGAAACTGCAGTACCAGCGTGTACTTCACGTCATCTCATGAAGTGCCAGTACTACATGGGAGGATGTATCGTGCTCTCTGTGTTGATTCTTAATACCAAGGCAGCGTGACACCAGTTCCTTTGGGACTAAACTGATGGTAATTTTTGTCTCCTTCAAATTTGTGCTAATAGCCAGAGGCGGTTTGCAAACTGATAAGGCAACAAAAAGCTGAGAATCCTAGGACCTAAGGCCTGGAACTGAAAGGTGGCAGCGTGGGAGAGGCCACAGCTCGTTTATTTCCGCTGAGGGCTTTTCCTAGCTCCACCTGAGCTGCTTGCGCCAGGAGAGGCTCCTGTCCTGACCTTAGTGCTGCAGGACTTTCCCTTTCCAGTGTCAGTGGCTCTTGCAGCATCCCGTTGTATAGGGCTCCTTTCGTGCTCCTTTTTCAGGAAAGCTAGTTATCAGAGATGTTCTTACTGCCATTGAGGCCGAACTGTACCCTGGTAACTGTCACACGTGTGAGATTTTACTCTTCCCCCACATGGTTTACCCCCTCGCCGCACCAGTTCTGTGCGCCTCACGGTTCCTCGTTCAGGGGGTGCTGCTTGGCCATCGGATTGCTCGTGTTAGGGTTGAGGGGTCTACAGACGGTTCTGAAAGGTTTTCTGATACTCCTTTGGGAAATGGGGGCAGCAGGGCACAAGGATTCTGAAGTTAAACTACTATATAACCAGAACCCACTCGTCATATTTCTAGCTGAAAATTTTGTGATGTGCTGCTTTATGTTCTCACTGAAATATGTATTATTTTATATACTTAACTGTCTTATAAATGGCAAACGGCCTTGCAGCAAAAGTATCCTGATTTGTGATGGAAAATGAAAAAAAAATATCTAGGCTTTTATCTAAGTCATCAGTATAAACACTTAATGAGCTGTAAATGTCTTACACTTCAGGAAACTCTGCCCTTAGCCTAATGCCTTTAGATCCTCATGTGAACAGGAGAGGTTCTCTTATTATATAGGCTATAAATACAGTAGAACAGTCAATCATGGGCAAGGTGACATTAAAGCTGAATGGTTAGGTGTCCAAAAGCAACTGCAGGTGCACACACCACTCATTTCATGTATCTTTTCATTGTGGGTTTCAAAGTTTTGGTAAAAGTAGAGGTAGTTTTTCTGTTGCTTACAAGGCCAGAAACCCTCTTTTACCTAAGATTTCCAGTGACATTGGTGCACTACATCTGAGTAAAAGGATCTAACACATAGGGGCTTAAATAGTTCTCAGTCAGCAAATCTTGATGAAAAGGATGATTCTAACTTAGAATCCTGTTTTTATCTTTGATCTACAAATACTACTTAATCCTTTTTAAAAAGTGTACTGTAACTTTTCAAAAGCTTACTTTGAGAATATAGTATACAGCACAAAATGCCCTGTGGGCACGTGCTACACCTAGAAGCAATACCCATGGCTTCCCCTGGAGAAGTGCTCTGCCCTGTGTGACACAGCTGGAGGTGCTCACCTCTGAACTGGATGGTGATGGCCCCATGGTTAGTGAACCACCTGGAACCAGTGGCCCGACTCCCAGCAGCACCTCAGCCAGGAAAGTGTTCGATCCACTGCACGGTAACACTAGCTTCTGTATTCTACCTTGCAGGGTAGGCTTCTGCTATTGAGATTTATTGGATTTTTTTACCCTAAAAAGCAATTGTTAGTGTTTTGGGGGGGTGGGTACTAGGGATTGAACTCGGGTCCTTGCACTTGCAAGGCAGGCAGTGGAACCACTGAGCTAAATCCCCAGCCCTGGTGGGTTCTTAATTGTATCTCTTTTTACTTGGTCCTTGTGCTTGCGAGGCAGGTGCTAGAACTGCTGAGCTAAATTCCTGGCACCTTAATTGTATCTTTTTAAGGTGGTTGTACAGTAAGAATTTGTTCCACTCCCAAACCAAAACACTTGTATGTCAAAGCAGTGAGAGAGAAAACCGGTTGTGATCATGTGACATTCAGCCTGATGTACTACTCATATTGCAACAAATCGCTTATCAAGTTAAAATTGCTGAGAATGTCTGCTTGTCTTTTGGAGCACTCATGGAGGTTGCTCACAATCCAAGGTTGGACTATACATGCAAAGTATGAGTCAGCCATATAACAGCTGCTGCTCCTTAGGGCACTGAGGTTCCTGGTGGGCCCTCTTCTGGACATGTGGCTTTCAAATCCCACTGCTTATCACTGTGCTGTGAGTGCCTTTCTCTTGCCAAGGCATTTTGAGAAGAAAACAAACAAAAGTTTTCCTGTCTGGGAATTTTTTTTTTTTTTTTTTTTTTTTTTTTTTTTTTTGCGGGGGTGGACATTAACAGAATTTAATTTTGTTAAGTTTTTTAACTTACAGCTTTTTATCCCTCAGTGTTTTCTTTACTGTGTTGGATGAAAGAGGTGCGACATACATCTGCGTACTGGGTGCCACAGGTCCCCCATGCAGCCCTTCCACAACTAGATCCAGGAGCAAGCAGACCCACACAGCCATGACACAGAGCTGCTTACTTCATCTGAGCTTTTCCTGCGCTAGGAACATGACCATACATGTTTTTCCATGCACTGACACGGTTTTGCTTTTGGTTCGTGTATTTATACTCGCACCGACTGACTGCAGCTCAGCAAAGTGCCGCACCCTGTGGGCTCAGGGGCCCTCGCTCTCAATGTAGGGGATGTCATGGTACTTGATGTTGTTGCGTGCCCACTGCTGCAAGGCATCGTGCAGAATCTCCCAGGACAGGCAGTCTGCATACTCCGTGACGGCGGTGCTGACCCCTGGCTGTGCCTTCGTGTCCCCTTGGGCTTTACATGGAGAAGACCGTCTGCGTAACCTCTCTTCTGGCATAAAGCTTTCTTCACTCCCACACTGCCTGTCGGTCTCCAAGTTGGTAGAAAATGGGAAAGTTTGCTTTGATTTCACGCAGCCCATGTTATGAAGAGTGGTGAGTGAAGGAGAGCAGTAGTGGAGGCTGAGCCAGCACCATCAGTGGAAAGCAGTGCAGGCCCAGCTGCACGGTGCTGCCCAGCACTTGTCCTCTCCCCCGATTCAGTGGTCAGTGTTCCTTTCACTCTCCATCGGTGTTTGCCTGTCAAGAGAAGGGAGTTTGCACAGTGAAGTCGTAGAATGCAAAATAATGTACGAGTCAGTGATGTAGACACACTAAGTTCTTTTTACTCTGGTCACTTGGAAATGTGAAATAATACAACTTTACCAAGTGAGGAGAAACCACCCAATAAAAAACCCCATTTTAAAAAACAGGAGGACTGGGGATTTAGCTCAGTGGTGCTGTCACCTGCCTTGCCTTGCAGGCACAAGGTCCTGAGTTCAATCCCAGGTGCCAAACAAAAGCTCTTAAACTTTTACTGTCTAGGTTTATCTATTCATGTGAACAATAGCTTTTGGACGATATTCCAGCCACCTATTTAGAACACAACCATTTTCTATGTGTGGTCAAGAGTGGCAGAATTGAATAGTTGTAACAGACTGTGGCCCACAAACTAAGATATTTTCTATCTGGCCGTTTACAGAAAATGTTTGCTGACCCTGATCTGCGTTGTCAAGACAAACAAGCATATCAAATTTATTCCTACAGTAAGCTGCTTGACAATGGAGATTCTCTGTTGTGCATCCCGAACATGTACTTCCATGTGTATCTGCTTTGTGCTATGAGGGATGGTTAAGAATTGGACACAATTAACATACAAAATATCACAGTGAGTCTCATAAGTCTGTGAGGAGAATCACAGAATTGCCTGTGTTATCTAGGATCTTTGGTTTTGTATAAGCAGCTTTTTCTGATTGACTAGTGCCAGATTTGTGTGTTCTCCAAAACAACTTTAAACCTGGAGAAAATACACATGAGCTGGTATTTTTAGTCATCAGCAACCCAGTATTGTGATCCCTGAGAGAGGAGATAGAAGATGTTAAATCCCACACAGTTGAGCATCCCGGGCAGTTTTGCTTGGTATCCTCTAGCATTCTCACAGAGAGGCCAGGCCCAAGATGGGCTGAAATTCTGTTAAGCAGTTATCAGTTGGACTACTGAATAACTGGGATTTAGAAGACAAGAGTTTAAGGACAGAGCCAGGGGAGCTAGGCAGAAATTTGCATGAGGGATCACCAAGGATAAAGACCACTAAGACCTAGCAAAAGATTTCCTGCTCTGGGACCTCGAGTGGAACAGTGAGCCCAGAAGTTACATAGTACTAAAAATCCTTGGAGTTGCATACCTTAGTGTTCAAGTGGAGAGACCTTATGAACACATAGGCATTAACTACTACTTGGGAAATTCTCCTCTGAAGTAGGAGAATACCCCAATACAGGGAATTGGCAAATGTTTTCTTAAGAGCTAGAAAGTATATGGCTTCGGTTTGTGAGCCATTTTGCTATAGATCAAATGCTTATCCCCGTCCTTTGCCAAATTCCCAGGGTGAAACCTAACCCCAGTGTGATGACATTTGGAAATGGGGCCTCTTAGCATTTTAGTGCCCTTAGAGAAGAGATCCCAGACAGCTCCCTCATCCTCACTGCCACATGAGGACACAGCAAGAAGGTGCTATGAACTAGGAATGGGCCCTCAACAGACACTGATTCTGCTGGTGTTTCGACTAAGTGGACTTCCAGGCTCTGGAACTGAAAAATACATTTCTGTTATAAGTACCCAGCCCATGGTATTTTGTAATAGCCTGAATGGACTGAGGCACGTACAGTGTCACAACTGTTGATTTCTGGTAGTACAGTACAAAGCCACAAACTATATAAATAAGTAGGTACTTCATTTTAAAAACAGGCAGCTTGCCATTGACTAGACTGGATTAAATTCAAGTACTCCCACTCTTAGACTAGAACTCAGTAATATGTAAGACAAAGATGATACAATCCAGACTTCACACAAGGAATAATCAGTGTACCTCACACAGTAAACAATTCCTGGTCATACAGAGAAGCAGGAAAATGTGACCACAATCAAGAAAAGACAGCCATTAACAATGGACCCCAAGATGATTTAGCATTTGATAGTTAAAAGAACTTTAGTTAAATATATTCAGGGATACAAGGGAAAATGATCATGAATAGTGAACAAATAGAGAAATCGGAATTATAAGATGGAGAATGAAAGTAGTTCATTCTGTGGGCTAATGGATATTCCAAAAGACAGACAGGAATTTGAACATGAGCCCGTAGATTTATCCGATTTGAAAATCAGGGCTATTTTAAAGATTGAATATTATCCTTATTAAAAGGATAATGCAATTGTGACTGGAAAACGAGGTTTTGATACATTTAACTCTTAGGAAAGGAGGAATTATAGGGAAAAGAAAAATAGGGGACAGTTAAGGTGACCTACTTCCACATAAAATGTTTTATAGAAAATGGACTAAAGATTCCATTTTAAAAAGCAGAAGTGATTAGACTTTAAAGGTAAGATCCAGGCAGCAGAGTGACATCCCAGCACTCTTAAAAAGCTGAGGCAGGAGGATTACTAACTTCAAGCCCAGAACAGGCAATTTACTAACTGAGCAGACCCTATTTATAAATAGATAACCAGGTCTGGGAATGTAGCTCAGGGTGAAAGCCCTGGGTTCAATCCCCAGAACCACATAAATAGATCCAGACCCCCACACACAGAGTAAATAGTTTTGGCCAAGGAAATACAAGGGAGAAACAGTTTTTTCATTATAAAGGAAACCCTAGACATATTACAGCCTTCAAAAAATTCAAAATGGTTTATAGATCTAAATATACACAAAGCTGTAACATTCCTAAAAGAAAACAGGAGAAAACCTATATATGACAGTGACGTCAAAAAAAACTGCTCTTTGTAATTGTCAAGAAGAGAGTCAGGCTGGAAGAGAATGTTATAAAAACTGATAAAGTATTACTCAAAAGATACAAAGAACATTTAAAATGCAATGTGGATTCATCAAGAGTGTGGTGTAGTAAGCAGCAGGGGGTCAGCCTCTTGGACTCTGAATCCAGACAGTGGAATATAACAATTTGGAGAAGAACAGGAGGAGGAAGTTAAATCCCCAGGACCCAAGAAGAATCTGAAGGAAGAGCTGGAACCCACAGGGAAAGTGAAGAAACATACCTCAATGCTGAATAAAGAAGGGGCAAGCACCACTACCTCCCTGACTCCTGGTGAGAGAGGAGGCTCAAATCTAAAGAGATACAATGAAGGTGGGGGCGGACATCAGAGGCCTCCACAGAGAAACACACCTGTGGAATGGAGCAGTGGATGCTGTAAACTACATCTGTTGAGTGTCTTCAGTCCAAGCATCCAGTATGGATCTGGGCTCTGTCTGACTCCTTGGTCCACCAGAGACAGTGAAGACATGCTCTAATTGGAAATGACCACAAAACTGTAGAGCCCCGAAGATAACTACAAGCTTGAAATCACAGACCTTTTCTTCTTTATTCTCTTGGCTTTTTTTCTTGATTGTTGCTTTTTCATGAGTGTGAATATTGTTTTTTTATTTTTGTTTTATTTTGTTTTTTTTTTTTTCACCTCTGTGGTTATCAATTCAGAAAGTTCCAGTAGGTGGCTTCTGATTTCCTCTATCTCACTTCCCTGGACCTACCTCTGGTAGGCTGGAGATCCGGGGTTGTGTTTTGCTTCTGCACCGTGTCATTTCCTAGTTTTTATATTTTGTTTTGTGAGTTGTCGCTTGTAGAGTTCGTATGGTATGTCGCTTTATCAGTTATATTGAAGTTTCTCTAGGGAATGTCTTTTCCTCAGAGATGTCTTCTTGGGATAGGTGGTTCCCACTTTAAGTGTGCAAGATTGCTATCTAGCTCACACCCAGTCCTTTGGTACTGGACTGTGGTGATGGTTATGACCCCGGATAATCACAGTGTTGTCATATAAAGGAGAACAACTGATTACAACAGGTATAACCATTTTGACAAAAGTAATAGTTAGCAATAACATCAAGCACATCCTAGCAGCTGACAAACTGTGGTAACTGTTGGTTTGGTACCTTTGACCATATAGGCAAGTTATACTGTTTTATAACAAAATCCAACATAAATCAGCCACTTGTATGCAATGAATTTCTCCTTAGTAGAGTGATTTTTACCCTATGGGGGGAAATTTAAGAGGATGGGGTAAAACAGATAAAAGAAATACAGTAGAAGCGAGGCTGAAGTGCACAGGATGAACACTTAAGCTTTGGGAGATTGTAGAGAAATGCAGGAGAGAAAGTGGGGGAGAAAGCAAAAAACTATTGAGGTGAACCAGAGAAGAGACAATTTTCACTCACATGAAAATATAAAAGCAAAATAGATAGCTGGGAAAAGAGAGGAAAGATGAATAGAACAGCACAAAAAAATCAAGGTAAAAAAACCAAGACAACCACACATAACACAAAATGAAAAAGGAAAATAAAGTTCCTCTGGTATTCACAGTTCTGTTAGTAACGCTGACAGAGCCCAAAACTGCAGTTGAAACTGAGTATGAGGTTGATTTGGCCTCCAAATGTGGGAGCTGTGGCCATTCTTTAGCTAGCAACTTTTGAGAGATCACCCAGGCACATGTGTCCCCACTGAGGCCATCTTCACGCTGCTCTCTTAGCTGTTTTGATACCCTCTGGTGGAGCCAGGCCAAGGCTGCTTCCGGGTTGGTCCTTCCTGGACCCTGCTGCTTCCTCAGTTCCACTCCACGGATTAGTTCCATGTACCAGTTGTATTGGGGGAGAGGTGCCCTTGTCCTGTGGCTGTTTAAGGTTGTTTGCCTGCTGCCTGTTGCAGGGCAGGAGTGTCCCCTTCCCAATGCCAGCCAAAGTGCTTGCCTGTCCCATGCGTCTGATCAAAAAACAGTCTTTGGTGGCTAGGGCTAGTCTGGGTTGTCCCAGTCACCTCTTCTCAGCAGTGTTTCTCTCAATCTGCTGTCCAGCAGCCTGTAGACTACTGTAAGGGAGATCTTCCCTCCTCCACTTTGGGGTGCAAGCCCCAGGCTTTTTGAAATAAGATGGTGACCCCACCTGCTCTATTTCTGTGACTATGTGGAGAGACTGTTCCCCTTCACTCACCAAATGTTGACTCTGGGGAGGGCCACTCGGGAAGCAATGCCTCGTGGTCTTGCTG